GCATTTTCTTTGCCCACTGAAAGTGGAATCATTATATAATTTTTATTCATTCCAATCTTTCAAATGCAATAGGTCCCCATGACGCTCGAGTAAATCCCCATTTAGCATCATGGGCTCCCCTACCATAAAACTACTTAACGGGTTTCATTGGGGCCAATCAGGGACAATTATTTTAAAACAACAAGGTTTTGGTGTATTGCTGCCATTTTTTACGATTTTGATTTTTGGGAATGTAAACTAAAAGTCTTATTTCTCAAGTTATTCATTTTTTAAAACTGTTTAAAAGCTGTTTTTAAGAGCTAATTATTAAGCTTACTTAATTTGTCCTATATTCCGACTAAGATACCGTTTGAGATATATTCATTTCTCATAGAATTTTAAAATAATAATTCACTTACATGATAAAGTTTAAACACATACACAACAAATAATAGTCTCATCCTTGGTAAATATATTATAAAAAAATTAGGCTGTTTTTAGTAACAAGATACAGGGTACTTGTACAAAAACTATACAATAGAGCAAACAATGCGTGGACACAGATCGAGCGTAGCTAGAAGCCACATGTGAAATAGTGATCTAATGTGCACTCAGATTATATGTTAAATGGTATTTTAAGTGCTTTTTAAAAGCTAGCATTGATTTTGCTTCTTTAAGTGTGTGAAATACTATAAGTATTTTATTATGTCTTGACAGTGTTAATTTTAAGTATTCATATCTGTGTGTAAAAAATGTTGTATTTATCTTAGTATTTAATCTAAAAATATCTTTACTAATTAATAAATGTGATGTCTTATCTCTATTTATAGTGATTACACAGGCCAACCAAATTTTTACCCAGAAACCAGAGTATACTTTTTAGTAGAGTACACTTCGGGACAGTAGGTATACTCTGGTTTCTGGGGATGAAACATTATGAAATTTTGTTGGCCTGTGTTATATTTAACAATGGGTCTCTTTTCGGTGCCGTTCTAGTTATGCATTACATTATTATCATTACATAAACTATATTTTCATGTTGAGTAGTGTCAGTCACAAAGTCATAAATAAATATTCTTAAAAAATAAAAAAAATACACACTGATTTACCTTTACAGGATTTCAGTCGTTCGTTATTTCTTTTTATTATCTGATTTCATTTAATTTTATGTTTACATATCTGTATATTAGCCGCATCCAGTTTATATATATCTATTGTCTTCCTCAGGTCAGAGCGCCATCTGACTTGACTGATCCAACCTTCTAGTTAATTTTCAACGGTCTCAACTAACACTGCTTACATTGTCAGGGGATTGATTTTTTCATATGATTACAGATAGAAAAAGGTCCACCAAGAAAAAAAAACTCACGAGAGAAGAGAGTCTTAAAAGAAAAAGAGAAGCAGAACGTAAACGTTATAAACGTATTAAAAGTGATCCCGTAAAATGGGGAGAATTAAAAAAAAAAGAACATTTTAAGTATTTGGAGAAAAAGGCAAAAGGCAGTAGGAAATTAGTAAAAGATATGAATCCGTCAGAACATCTAAAAACAAAAAAACAATGGAGGGAAAATTATGCTAGATACCGACAGAAGTGATAACTTAAACTATTTAATATTGAAATTGTTTATTTTTATAAGAACTTAAAAAAACGACGCTAGTTTTAGATCAGTTAACTGTCAACAGTATGTACATATCTATCGCACACTAAACACTGAGTAGAGAGAGGGGGAAGCGTCTGTCCGAAATACGGCTAGCGCTGTGGGTTATGGTTTGAAACAAATTGTGAAGGTCAATTAAATATTACTTAATATAAAAGTAAAATTAGGCCTTCCAAAACTCCAACCCTTTTTCAAATTAAACTTCAGTTAGAAGCAAGTGCCAGTCTCTTCAGCCTTTTAGCAGTGAAGATTTTGCATTTAATGACATGTCACTGCAACAGTAAAAGTATCAATATGACGACGACGAAGATATACCTGAAAATCTGGTATAAAAACACTTTATTATTTTACCGGGACGATAATGTGGTTTTGTATAACTTATTTTAATTAATTCCTTGAATTGGAACTAAGATTTTGTTAAAGGATTATTTTATTGTGAATGGATATAATAAATGAAGGTTTTAAATGTAACTTATGTTTCTTATCTTATTGTGGGAAAAATTAATAGTTCTCTGTTGCGATTAATATGAGACTAAAGCCAAGTTTTAACGTTACGAGTAGGCTCGGACCGAGTGCACTCGGATGATTACTTGGATGCTACTTGTATCACGTAAACACACCATCCGAGTGCATCGAGCATCGGATACCGATCCGAGTGGACTCAGACGCGGTTCTATTCTGGCGAGTGCACTCGGATTATTTTATGTAAACAAAAAAAGCTGGAGTAAACATGACATCATGAGGTTTGTGGAGCTTTATGAAGTTGAGGAAGTGTTGTGGAATGTGAGACTAAATGAATATAAAAACAAAGAAGCCCGAAATGCTGCAATACAACGCATAATTAAGAATTTACACATACAGAATACGTACTCGTAAGAACTATTAAAAATAAAATCAATAAGGTCTTTTATTAAAAATTAAAAATCCATCATCTCTACGGTTTAAAATTGCAGAAAGATTTCTATCGTGTAAGTATAAAAAAAAAGGTAACATTTTATGAAATATTTCGAATTTAAAACAGTTAAATAAAAAATAATATTAGTATTTTATTTGCTATGTATATGTTTCGTTTTTACGACTATAACCTATGTCATCATCATTTCAACAGCCTTTAATAGTCCACTGCTGGACATGGGGCTCTCCTTAGAAAGGTGGTTTTGGCGTACTATTCCCCGCTGGCCAGACGGGTTGGTAATAGTTGGTAAAAGGTTTGTTTCCATCCATTCCTATCCACGAACGTACCCAAGACCTACGTATGATTTTCAATTTCGTTGTTTACTTCTTGAAGGTTAAATAAGGAATGAACAGGGGCAAACGAGCAGACTGGTCATCTGATGGAAAGTGACTACTGCCGCCCATGAACGCCTTCTGAAGGAGTACGCTATTTTCTTGAAGGTTTGCAGGGATTATCTGATTTCAAATTATAATGTTGATTTTTGGTTAATTCAAGTTTTATATCATAATAACCAGTCCACTGGCATAGCCAACAGTCCTGATCATTTCAAATCCTTTCTCAAATTTTAAATAAAGTTTTCTTTTATCTGTATTGATTAATAGTACAATTATACATATCAGTCCCATCGTACCTCATTACAGATTAAAATTCAGTGACACGATCTTATAAATTCTAAAGGCAGCTTTTGAGGTAGTCGCTGACAACATGTGATGGAACATACCGATCATCATATGTGTTTATCTAATTCCTTCAAAGAGGTGTCCTCTTTCAGATCAATATTGACACATTTTGTCAATAAGTGTGTCACATACTTTAAAAATCACTAATTTCACAGTTTAGTGAAGATTGCGGGCTATAACAATATCTTTTCTACTGTCCGGTGTATGAAAACCATGGTATATGGTGAGTTGTCGATACCATAGTCTTATAGTATATCCTCTTTTCTTTCAGATTTTGATTAAAATACTCATTTCAAATTGCATGATACGTATTTAGATTAATAACTTAATTGTTGAAAAAACTAAAAACACGTCTGCGTCAAAATGTATACTGTACTTAAATTTACAAACCGGTGATTTAAATGTTTAATAACTTTTACACATAATTAAGATAAAGCTAACGACGCCTTCCAAGCTAAAATTCATTGAGCTGTTTAAACTACAGAGCGTGTCAAAGATATGTACATGCATACACTCGAAAAACATAACCCTCGTTCTGGCGTAGTTGGGTAAAAAGTAAATGCATCCTCCCTTACAATATCAACGTTAACACTAAAAACTCTCTGCTCTTAATATTTTTAAACAATTACTTTCCTCGAACCTAGTTTTCTGCAGTGTGTTTGCGGCTCTTGGCGAATATGGACGAGTTTACTGTTGCAGCAACAGCCGCTGCAGCCGCAGCGATTACTATACCGGAGACTGAACCATTACGTTTACGCAAAGGATTCTTAATAACCATAAACGACCCAGTTTCTTCAAATTTTTTGACCACTCTTCGAATTTTCAACACATTAGGTGCACTTTCTCGACTGAAAATTTGGTGAAGTTTGCGAGCGGTTTCAGCGTAATTTCCCTATTTTTGTAATGAATTTTTACAATTATAACGCGTTGTACTTTCAAAAAGCGATCCATTTTTAATAATCGGAATAAACATAGGTGACAGCTATCAAATTTCAGTGTTGTTACTTGCGCGAAAAAAAAGTGATTCTAAATTTAAAAGGTGCACTCTTACTGAGACACCCTTTATCTTTATGTGCTACACGAACCAATGAAAGTTAAAAAGTTTGTTTCAACGAAAGTTTGTTCTTTGACGTCTGCTCCATCCACTTCCTCTTTAATTACATTACAGTGCTGTCCACATAAGTCTCAACGTGTGTAGTTAAAGTAATTTGAATAAAATATCACTAAGTTAGTCGTCGGTTAATTGTCAAGCAAGTTAGTTCGTTTATTTTGTTGTTGTTAGTTCCAAAAGTGCTTATTAAAAATATCATTGGCAAGGTTTTAATACGCTGGTTTTTCTACAAATTTAGAACAGAGAGTTATGGAGTAGTACGCTTGTCTACTATTTGAAAGTAGTCACGCTCATTAGCTTATAAAAATCGCTTAAATATAAAAGGGTCGTTAGAAAAATAATGAACTACTTGTTTAAGCATCAGAACCTACATTCGGTGCCCAGACTTGCCGGTTTGCTTTTCCTAATAAGGCAGTCGTCGATATTATCAGTTTCCATTCAGCGATATTCTTATTCATTAAATATACACAAAAAAAGTCTGGATTCCACTGGATGCGAAAGAAAACCGCAGCGCACCGCTCACAATCTTCGTTATGTCCAAATGTAGTAAGTTCAATATACGTTGACAATATTGTTTGACTCGTAATACATAATATTTACTATTTGCAGAACGCAACATGTTACGAGATCAGCAAATAGAAAAGGCTATAAAAGCTATAAACAAAGGAATGACACTGAGATTAGCGGCCTTAACCTATAACATTCCAAGAACAACTCTGATATATAGAGTAAAACAAGGACTATCGGGGCCCCAAACGCTGTTGACCACTGAAGAAGAAACCGAATTAGCCAATTGGATACAATTCTGCACCGGTGATGGTTGTTACTGGAGTAAAAAAGATATGATTACTAATATCGGCGAGTATTTAAGAAAAAAAGATAAGGGTAACTTGTTTAAAGACGGGGTGCCAGGCGAGAGATGGTACCATTTGTTTTTAAAACGACATCCAGAGTTGAAGAAGTGTATGATTATAAGGAAGGAATACGAGCGGAAGTCCAATAAAAATTTGCTATAAGCATAATGACTGGTACTTTAGAGCCACGTTTAAGATAATCTCTTTTTATAAGCATACTACACCTACACAGAAATAATTTAGAACTAAATTATTGTAATAAACTTAGTTTTGTTCACAATGAAAACTCTCTAACACTGAACTCTTGGTCATCCGTTCGTAGCTATTGTGCCTTGTGTTGTGTGTCTACTGACTGTTATCAATAGCACAGTCCCAATGCTGAGGGTAGTCTGACATATACATATATATATATTTTATTGTACGATCTGTTTTATCTTGTTAATTTTAATACTGTTCTCAATAATTACTAAGTATTTTATTTATATTATAATTATTTGCATGTAATCGAAAGGTAAGTGTATAATTAAAAAGTTATTTAAAAAAATGTAATAGTAAGTGAGTAATGCATAGCGTTACGCACATTTGTTTTTAAATTTGCTAAATTAGTAACTGTTTTGATTGAAGAAATAATATTATATAGGGGAGAGTAACCAATATTGAACCAGCGCTTAAATTGGACCACTTCTAATTTTCTATCAAAATGGCATTTTTACACTATCAACACAAAAAGAAGCGCTAGCGGCACCACTACTACTCCACCAATTTGTAGCGCTCCTTTTTGTGGCAATGTACTATACCAAATAGTGCCATTTTGGTAGAAATACAGAAGTAGTCCAATTTAAGCGCCGGTTCGATATTGGTTACTCTCATATTTATAAATATATGATAATAACATTTTTTTTACAAAAATGAAAACTGTAGGTGGTTATTATTTGTTAATATATATTTGGAAATGCAAATATTTATTCTAGGGAAAATTTTGACAAGAATTTATTTAAGTAAATTGATTGTTATAATAAGCTACGATATATTGTTATTTCTAATAAAAGTGCACTTTTTAGTATTTACCTGTTTTGGATTTTTAATCACAATGTTTTACATAATAAAAAAAAAAACAGATTTCGCTGAGTTTTTCTTATAGAAACGTATATGAAAGTGTGTTGAAACATACTCTATTATATAAACAACTAGCTGTACCCTGCCAAGCTTTGCTGTGGCACATTGCGGATTGCATTGATGAGAAATGTGAAATAAAAATGACAGGAAAAATAGATAAAAACAATCTTTGGAGCCGGTTATATATCGTGTCAAGATTTAAGCTCAATCAAAAATATCTTTTGCATCTGTTTTTTCTATCAGCGCCTCGACGTGAATAGCCTCTTTGAGAAGTACCTAGTATAGAATGTTAGGCGCAGAATAGCTTTATATTTAAAAATCGAATCTAGCTTTTTTAAAGTTCTTTAAAGGGATAATTCGAGTAACAGTATTAAGTAATTTAAATAAAATACTTTGGAAAAATCGCGATTTTTCGCCCTTCATTTTCTTAGCTTGTGTGACTCGTAAAAAAATCCGTACGGGGCTTCTTGAATTATACAAGTAGATTTTGATACTCCTAATAACCTCAAAATTTGAGAAAATATGTAAAAAGTTGCTTCGGAAAAATCGTGCGTGATCGGTAAGAAAACATCCAACGACAAAAAAAAAAGGGATTTTCTCATTAAGAGTTGCCCTACAACTTCTGCTTAGTTTAAATCTCCCAGATGCATGACAGATCCGAGAAAATAAAAAAAATCGCTCGATTTTCTTGCCCCACTCCCATGTTACCCAAGTTCCGCAAGTTGCTGAACTTTCTCTCTCGCCGTTCGCGGCGCTCTATTGTAGAAACCGTTGAAAACCCAGCTAGTTTTTTTTTTGGATCTGAACATTCTCAGCATGAAACTCAACATTCGACCTTTTAAGAAACCAATCCGTACAAATTACAATATTATTAATATTAATAAATTAATAATTGATTTTGATTTAATTTTATACAAAGACATATTTGATAATCTCAACATCTTTGTCATACAGGTTTTATAATATTTTGTTTCTTTTTTAGGTTTCAATGTTGAATACGTGCCAAGCAACCGTGGAAGCTTTATATTAATATACAAAAATTATACTTACTTCCACATGCACAGCAGGACAAGATGGTACTGTTCTCAGAGAGCTACGTTCAGGTGTACCGCGAAAGTCATAACGAACGCTAACGGGGACTTTGTTCAAACATTGGGTTATCATACCCATGGCCCTCCATTATTGCGAAGGACCTCGACAGGCATTCATATTCATAAGTTCAGAAACTGAGTTTCTTTCATGTATGGCCATTGATTTTTCTTAGATCATCATCATTAGAACAGAACCATGTATATTGTTTTTCTGATAGAATATAAGAAGTAGTAATAGTTCTGTTAAGTAAACATTACAGTAAAATGATGATAGTGTTTAATTAAGTAATTTAGAAAAAATATAAATGTCTTATTTATTAAAGAATACAGATCTGAATAATATGAGAGTGACCTAATGGATTAAGCTTACATTATTGTTACGTAACATTCTTGTGTGTGTGTGTGTTTGTGTGTGTGTCAATGTGTGTTTTCGGCTACTTATGATTAATCGACAAGTCTCGTTCTTGTAAGCTATCTACCTCTATCCACACAACTATGACTTTATTGATAGAGTTGCTTTATTTTGTACTATTTTATAGTATAGAATATTGAAAGGATTATAATATTATAAAGACAAATTTAAATTTAGCAGTTGTGGATACTATCTGTTTAGATGTGGTTAATTATATGTATACAACAATTGGCTTACCCTTCTTTATTCTTGCGTCCTTGCTATGCAATTATAAGTTACTCGTCTGTTTCACCCACATAATAAGTGTTTTTTTACAAGTCGATGCTTGTCAGACAAACTTGAATATTCTTTGTCTATTTAAAAATCTAAAATATCGTTTTCTATTTTAAGATATCCCATACGAAGACTATCCAACTCTGCAGTTCGTTCCAAGCCGACGTGGTGGTACAATCTTAGTATATAAAGCTAATACCTACGTCCGGATGACGAGTAAAACTAGGTGGTATTGTTCCAAGAAAGCCTCGGGTTGCAAGTCTCAAGTACTGCTAACTGAGGAACGTCAATTCATCAGTGAGATGTTCCAGCACAACCATCTTCCGAGGAGATATGAAGCTAATGTTAACAGTTTACATTATTCCAGTGACGATAATAAATAAAGCTTGGAGGATTTGTCCATTACGCAAATGGCTTGTCAATCTTGACGGTCTGTAGTGTGATATCTGTGAGTAAATAAAGATTGATAGTTAACATTTTCAGTTTGTAAACAAACAATTAAGCTGACTGAAATTAATCTTTTCAATGATATGGTAACTTTTTTAAGGGACGATTTCTTTTATAAATTTTGGTTTAGGATACTTTATAGTAAAATCTGACATTATCTATGTTCATAAACAAATTATTTTAATACATTTTTTCAGAATATACTCGTAATTATAATCATTGTTTGTCATATATCATATCTTCACCTTTCCACCCTTTTCCCAAATTTATTTGAGGTCGGGGAAATGAGTTTTCTTCTTCCATTCTCCTTGATCACTCGACATCCTCTTTCACGCACTCCTTCGTTTTGTTGCGAATTGGTTTTAGCTTTTTGTTTATGGCCGGGCGCCTGCCTAACGCCACCCTCCTTGAGAATATTTTCTTAGTGCATAGCATGAACCGAAAGATATTTGAGAATTCCAACACCCAGAGGTTTTCCTACTGTCAAACTAAATAGCTTTACAGCCCATTCTCTGCAGGGCAGCCATTTTCAAATTAATAATAATAATTAATTTATTCAATCAAGCAACCAGGACTCACCAAAACCATTACCACCATTCCCCAATACTGTTAAGGTGTTAACAATAATGTTAAGGTGAACAATGTTAAGGTGCAATCCCGGCAGAGACAGCACAGCAGCGACTTAGGTACATACGTACAATCCAGCCTACTCTATATCATGCGTAGGATGCTGTTAGTGCTGGCTCGAACCCTGCGCGCCAGGGTTGCACATTACTATTACTTTTCCCGTACTTCTATTGTATTTTATTTACTTAATTTTTGTTTATTTAGTTGTCACATATCCAGAATTAGTAAGTTATCATTGCGATACTATATTTATTTTATTCACTAAGTTTTTTCTTATAAGAAAAAAACATGACACACTCATAATTATCAAATTTGGTTTACATTTTGAATTATCGTTTAGTCATAAGTTTGTAATGTGTATAGCAATATTTATTATTAATTTATTTATTTTGTAATTCGAGTTTGAAAGTATGAAAGAAATTATTAATAGAATCATGGATGTAATGATGGTTATTTTGGGTTATGTAATGATGGGTTAATATTATACATAAATGAATGAAAAGCGTTTAAAATTGCTGGGATCTCAAACTTTACTAGCGTCGAATTGTGTTTATTCCTGACTTTACGTTTAGAGTCAGGGGTCAACAGTACAATAATTGTTGTCACTGTTGATTGTATTGATATAAAGAGTTCAAAGTCGAAGGTAGCAAATTTCATTTTCTTAAATTAAAGAATGTTAATTATCCCTATTGACATGTCCAACTTAGTTAAATGAATAAGGATTCTGGCTTGTGGCACAAATTTTACTTTAGTAACTGATTTCATAATTTTTAATCATCTGAAATGTGTAGTAGAATTTCTGGATAATAAAGTTGCATATTATAGATGAAAAACAATATTTTTATAAATAAACAATCTTAATGTAAACCCAGAAAATTTGCTTTTATTTAGATAATAATTAACAAAAATAAATGAATATGTTAGCATATACATTTTTATCTCTGCCACATTTAAAAACGTTGATCCTCATCATGAGTATCAACGCTTTTAAATTACTACACAATATTTTTGTCCTTTATTAATTATTATACAATATAAAGGAGAAACATTGTACAATAGTTAGGCTTATTAGCAGATCATTATGTCATGTCCACGAGTACCCATCAAATAATTGTAGGTTTATAAAGTCCACGGCATGCACAACCTGGAACGTGAGGGTGCTTCTACACGGTGCAAGTAGCTGGAGCGGGCAAAGC